TCTAGGATGGCTAAATCGGTATACAAGGATCCGGTTTGAACGTTGGTGGAGTTCACGGCTCGGTCGAAGAAGTACCTTGAGTTGGAACAGATGGAAATGGAGAACATAGATCAGAGGCAGAACCCGAATACATTCAAGAAACCTGGGAATCGAAGACAGAATGATTTACGGGGCAAAAGGCAAGAAGAAAGAGCTCCAGCAAGGGGAAGGTTTAGGTTTGAAAAATATGCACCCCTTAATTCACCTAGGTCACAAATCTGGAGGGAGGTGGCCTCTACCGAAATGAAGAGGGTCGATAGACCCCGGCCTTTACTAAACCAGGTCGGGTTAGATTAATCTCGATACTGTGCCTTTCATGACGGGCCCGGGCACACCACTAATTGAAAGGTACATCAGGGATGACAAGTTACGCCAGTATCTCATAAGAACCCAAGGATGGAGGAACAATAGAAAAAGGAAAGGTCGGCCAATTAGCCCGGCAAAAGAGAAAAGATTAAAGGAGGAAAGTCGAGGTAAGAAGCCGATCAGAGAAGAGGATGAGTTCGTAGAACCAGAGTTTTAATGTAATGTGATTAGTGGAGCTTTTGGTGGAGGAGGTGACACAATGAATGCCAGGAGGAAATACCTAAGAGAGGTGATTTCGATCCGAGGGCAGCCTAAATTCAAAGAAGACAGACTGTGGTGATGGTAAAAAAGCCAAACAGAAAATGGAGGGTATACACGGATTATACCGACATAAATAAGATATGTCCAAAGGATGCGTATCCTATGCCTAATATAGACCAGCTGGTTGATAGCTCGTCGGGATTCCAGATGTTGTCCTTTATGGATGCTTAATCCGGATATAATCAAATTCTATTACACCAGGAAGATAAGGAGAAAACGACGTTCATCTCGGAGAAGGAAAATTACTGCTATAATGTGATGCCCTTTGGGTTAAAGAACTCGGGGGCTACTTATCAAAGGACGATGAACCAAGTGTCTGCAGACCAGCTAGGCAAAAACGTAGAAGTGTATATAGATGACATGATAGTCAAGTCATTGGAGTCAATGATGCATATTGAAGACTTAGAGAAGACTTTCGAAAAGTTAAGGCGACACAATATCCGCTTAAATCCAGCAAAGTATGCTTTTGGAGTCTATGCAGGGAAGTTTCTTGGCTTTATGCAGGCAATCTTGTGGATTGTTTATAATAACTGTCACGTTTCCTGGGTATATTTAGATGAACTGTGTGTGACTTTTTGGGTAGGGAGAAGTAAAGCAAAACTAACTAAGCCTCTTTGTGCATAAAGAGAACTTCAGGACAAGAAACATATCGTTCACAATAACTGTAGGATTAATAAGCATTTTGGCCAGATTCATGCATAGTAAGATGCCATTGATTGCACCAGTTGTACTAATGCTGGTTTCAACTCAAAGTTGTTGGGCTCCACAGTGGGTCGAACAACACTCCCAATCGGTGGAATGACCGTGGGAGTCATGTAATCTCCCAATGTCCTTTGTGGTGGTGGTCTGTGATTTTCTTCCATGACCTCTTCCTGAATTGTCACACTAGATTCACCCCTTTCTTGTAGCTTTCTTTGTCTTGTTGCCTTCCTGTTCTTCCTAATTGTCTTTTCTAATTCTGGATCAGACAACAAAGAGTTTGGATTAGTAGTACCTCGCATACACCAGAATTGGAACTGAACAAAACTTCACACATAAATATAAATTGTTGAAAATAATAAAAATTCAATCTCAAATATTAATGGTGTCTGTCAATGTTGAAGAACAAATCCCCAGCAACGGCGCCAAAAACTTGTTGCGACTTTAGCAAGTGTACTAGTCGTACAAGTAATAAAATGATAAGTAAAGATCGTTCCCACGAGGATTTGTGTTCAAACACCAACTAACCATTTATAATTAAGTTGAATCAAACAAGAATTCATTGAATGCATTGATAATTGTCACCAGAAATTGAATTGTATTTGGACTTGATAAAATAACTAAAATGTGTATTATAATTTTACAACAAGTAGTAAGAAATCAATGTTCCTCAACCATAAACTTATGTAAGAATCAATCCCATTATGAATTATCTTCCATGTGATGTCAATCAACCTTTTTATTATCACCAAGATGTAATCCCTTACTACCTTGGTTGATACATTAATCAAGAACCCCAATCCCTTGGTAATTCCCTTCTTAATACATACATTAAGCACTAGGATTTTAAAGATTACATCAGAGTACTAGTTCCAATCCCTTGAATACTAGAACACTGATGATGAAATTGCCAGTTACAGAAATAATGTAAACATTCCTGTTCTACACTACCCCCCTTAATGGAAAGAATTGATAATTTTTTTTTCATATCATCTCATAAAAGATAATCATAATATTCAATCAACCATACATAAATTCATCTTTGAGTTCCATTTAAATCTAACTACAAAGGACTCTACTCAGACATAAGAAAAGAAATAACAAAAGAAGAGGAAAGATCAAACTCCATTGTCATGATGTTGAATCTTTAATCTTCAATCACAATTACATAAAGTACACTAAACTAATACAAAAACTAGGACCTAAGGAATTTAGAATTTCAGAGAGTAAAAATTCGGATCAGAGGATCTCTCTCTAGTGTGAAGGCCCTTTGCCCTTTTATAGTTTACAAATTCCAACTGAATAACATCCAAAAACTGACACGAGCGCTGAAACGTTGCTTGTTGGACGTTTTAGCGTTCAACTTTGACGGATGCCCAACTGCTTTCAACTGTCCTCAACGCTAAAACGTTTGCTTTGGACGTTTTAGCGCTCAACACTTGAATTCTCCAATTTCTTCAGAATCTTCTCCCTTCTCTCTTTTGCTTCTTGAGCTTTATTTTCCTACAAGAACAATGTAAATTTTCAACACAACTTTAAGAACTTGTATTTAGGACTTTACAAGACATTAACCTTTTTTTCCATCCATTTAATCACACAAATCAAACTAATTCATGCTTTAAAACCTTATAAACCAAGGATTTATCAGCAATGTTTTAGAAATGAATTAAGTAATTCAACTTGGTAATGATAATGACATCATAATTGAAAAGAAAAAGAATATTTCACAATTTTAATTAAGCGTGGCTTAATACGAGGGCATGTTAACAAACCGGGTATACACGGGGTGTTACATAGGTCAAAGGCTTTTGTTTACATGACGGGCCTTTAAGCCTACATGTAGGCCTATATCATATTATTTTAATAATTTTAAATAATAAAGTAATATTTTTTAATTATTGAATATTTAAGTGGCTAATAGGCTAATGAAGCACCGACACTTCAAAAATTCCGACATGTCGTATTCGACACTCCCCGACACTCCAACGCGGATTGTAGAAACTCAAAAAAGGTTCAAATGTTGCGTTGTGTTTTTAGTTCTAACTATTAGATTCGTTGGATTACTATTACCTATGAAGCACCGACACTTCAACAATTTTGACGTGTCGTGTCCGACACTTCCCGATACTCTTTGACACTTCAACACGCTTTATAGAAATTCAAAAAAAGGTTCAAAGGTTGCGTTGCGTTAAGTTTTTAGTTTCAACTATTAGATTTGTTGGTTTATGATTACCATTTTATTGAGTTTAATATAAATATATGTGATATCTTATGTTTCTTTGCAAAAGTGATGAATATTATAAGTTGAGTTTCATTTTTTTGTTAAATTATTAAATATTAAATATAATATATACTACATAAATTAAAAATATTATTTAATATCAAATCGTGTCCTAACGTGTCGAAATCTAACATTTTTTAGAATTAACGTGTCGGAGTGTCGTGTCGTATCGTGTCGCGTGTCCCGTGTCAGTATCGGTGCTACATAGACTATTACCATTTTATTGAATTTAATATAAATATTTATGATATTTTATATTTCTTTGCAAAATTAATGAGTATTATAAGTTTAACTTTATTTTTTTGTTAAATTATTGAGGGGAAGAATATTGTAACAACCAATTAGTGTTACTACCAATCAATTTCACCGTTAGATCGATTATGTTGATCCAACGGTTATATTTATTTTCATCTTTGTATGATTATGATTTTCCATATTTAATACTGTATATTTAGTTTCACATTTGTATGATTATGATTTCTCATATTTAATGTTTTCACATTAAATATGGAAAATCATAACCATACAAAGATGAAATAATATAACCGTTGGATCAACATAATCGATCTAACGGTGAAATTGATTGGTAGTAACAATAATTGATTGTTACAATATCCTACCCCAATTATTGAATATAAAATATAATATATGCAAAACAAATTCAAAATATTATTTAATATCATAACATGTCGAAATCTAACATTTTTTAAAATTAACGTGTCGAAGTTTTGTGTCGTGTCCCGTGTCAGTATTGGTGCTATATAGCTAACATGTTTAGGTCAAGGCATTTTTTTTAAAATATAAGTCAGTTCAAACTTGTAACTTAGACCTATATAAAACTACAGAAAAATATTTCTGCAGTTAATGCAGATAAGTTATCTGCATTTACTTTCAAAATGACGTCGTTTTGGGATTGAAAGATTAGAAAATTATAATTATAAAGACTTAATAATCCTGAAATAAATTAAAATTATAAAAATACCATAATTTTTGCTCCAAAATGACGTCGTATTAGGCTTACTGTAAATAACTTATCTATATTAACTGCAGAAAAAGGGAACCCATAAAACTAACATGTCTTGTTAGACCAAAATATATTTTACGTAAGCCTAATTGAATTTAAGCTAAAACTTAACCTAGTTACACCTTTGCCGTGATGTCCGTGAGTGAGGGAATTTTGTAATGTGGCCAGGTCCATCGTGGTCTTTTTTTCCACTGGAAAATTGACATTTGAATTATTATTTATTTTTTTTTTTTTTTCTCTCCTCAATTTTTTTTCTCTCTCACTCACCACAGTGCCACCAAATGTTTTGTGCTGCAGCAGCACCCAAACTTCGCTCGTGAGTGTGTGTTTTTGGGTAATATTTTTTTTTTTTTTCGTAATCAATTTTTGGGTAATATTTTAACATAGGTGAAAGCAACTGTTGGATTGTGAAGTAGACAAGTAGCAACCTTCACCAGTTTTTTCAGCCTGCTGAAAAATACTGGTGAGGGGATGAGATTTCTATTATCTAAACCCAACGAATTAGAGTGAAAAGCCTAATCGACCAAGATATGAAGAAAGAGAAGTTTGAGGAAAGAGCAACAGAACCATATAGAATGAAAAAGGATTCAAAGGACAAAGAAGAAGAAGAACACGAAGACTCAGAGCAAAAGAGCAACGAGAAGAAACAGAATCAATACCACACAATTTCGGAACCATCACCATCCATCACTTTTCAATCTCCTTCCCATCGAACCCGCAAATCCCCTTCGCCGCCGCTCCATTCTCTGTCGGACTCGCCTATCTCCGATTGCCACTACTCCGCCGGTCACGGCGGCTCCTCCCCGCCGCCGCAAGAGCCGCAGGCGAATTCATCGCCGGATTCATCCATTTCTGATGATCACTTCTCCGTCAATTACGGAGTCCCTCCGATCGAAAACCAACGGTTTTCTCCGGCGGAGGCGCCGCCGCCTGTTGTGATGGCTCACCGGTTTCAGGTTGAGCCAAAGGTGGTTACCAAGGTAGATCCCGGGGCCGAAGAGGGTTTCGTTGGCGTCAAAGATGTGGAACAAGCCACCGATGGCTACGGCAACGGTGGTAGTGGTGGTGGTGGTGGCAGTAATCGGCGATTGAGACCAGATGTATCGACTTTGTTGAGGTCCAAAAAAGTTGCTATGTTGAGCAAGCTTTTGTTGGGTCTTAGAATCGTTGCTTTTGTGTTCTGCTTGATTTCTTTCTCTGTGTTGGCTGTTGATAAGGAAAAGGGTTGGGCTGAGGACTCTTTCTATTTGTACAAGGAATTCAGGTATAAGTTTGGCTCTTTTTTTTTTTTTTTTTTTTTTCTAAATTGAGATACAAAGTGTCAAAGTTCAATTATTTTGCTTTTTATTTTTATTTTTGCTTATATTTGTTGCTTATTTGTTGTGAACATGCAATTTGTTTGTGGTGAGCTCTGTTATGATGTTTGTTGTTATTAATGTGTTAATTGGTTGATTTTATGTGGTGTGTGTGATTTTGCAGGTACAGCTTGTCAGTGAATGTGATTGGGTTTGTGTATTCTGGGTTGCAGATATGTGATCTGGTGCAGTACTTGATCACCAGAAAGCACTTAGTGGAGCACAAGCTAAAGGGTTACTTTAGTTTTGCACTGGATCAGGTAAAGCCAATTCTGTCCTCTCTGATTGTCAGTGTATTTTTTTCTGGTATAGTTTGTCTATTAATTAGTATTCAACCAAAAGAAGCCCCACTTGGATTTTGATTTTAGCAACTCAGAAATATGGAGTATTAATGGGTGTGGTTTATTGTGAATAATAATACAAGGGACCACAGGGAAAAGTTTAGCTCTCAGAGACCAACATCTGTAGTTCAGTTTTGCTGGGATTGTGACAATTGGTTTGTGAAATCCATCATCAGCAATATGGAGGCACCTAGAAACAACTTTTGGATACCTTTTAACTCCCTCTTCTCTGTTTTGATTTTTCCTTTTGCTTTCTTAAAGTTGGTTCTAAGTTGTAACAAAGATCTTTCTAAAACCTTATAATTTGGTATTGTCATTAAGACAAGTTTTTTGGTAGAGTCATTCAGAGTTTCAGATCAGTGTTCTACTTTTTAAATTATTAATTGTGATTTTTCATTAAATCGTTTATCTGTTTAGTAATTTGTTCAATGGATAATAAATTGTAACTCCCAATGCTATTTAACATATGGAAGGAACATTAATCGCACTTGTTAATTTGATAATGTCTCCTTTTTTTTTATTATAAATATGGATGAAGGGAATTTTATGCCTAATTATGTGAAATATTTGAATAGGTAATTCATTCTAGATGGTCAATTTATGAAGTCATTATAATTTTAGGGTATATATAATTGTGAAAAACTTGTCTAAATGTTCCTATTATATAATCACCATATTGTTATATGCCCGTAGATTATTGATTACTTTAGAACATAAGATGGTAATTGTTATTAATAATTTAGAACAATCTAAGTTATCAGCAATCAAACTTGTCTTCGAGTGTTACTAGTACTTATGGATTGCATGTGTAATCTAAATTATTGAGGACTGAGGATAGATGGATTGAAGTACATTGTGACAGACAGCCATTATAGTGCAACAGTTTTCCCAATATTTTGTAAACCAAGTTTTTTCTGGAAAGCAAATAAACCTCATTTCTCGATTTGCAGATATATTCAGCTACAGAAAAAATAAAAACTACCCGTTAAACTCGACTAGCGAGTGTGAGATGAAGGCAATCTTTGTACGCAGTCCTACCCTTACATAATTGTAAAGAGACTATTTCCTGAATTTGAGCCCATGGCTTTTCAGTTATAAAAGAACAGTTTTGCCACTGCTCCGGTTTGCCTTTTTTTATATTCAGCTACAAATGAAATAAATTTGACATGCATTATATTTTCGCTTCTGTATTGTATACTACGGTGTCATAATTAGAAGCTGAAAAGAGAAAGGGGAAATCGGAAAACTAGCTTACGTTATGAGCCTTTCTCAACAACAATGTATTCAATCCTTTTACTTATTCATATAGGCAATGTTGATAATTGAGCTGAGGCTTCAACGGTCCCAGACCAGATGCCACTATGTCATAATTCTTTTAGCCTGTTTTTCAACTGTTACATGTTAAATGAATCTCATATCATCATAGAAGTTTTCTTTCCACAAAGGTACGAGAATTTTGTTAATTCTCTGATTCAAAGATCACTCCAAACAAAACCCACCCAAGTGCAAAAGGACTAAACTATACATCCATGAAAGTACTGCGTTATGATATAATGTCGAAGGTTATAGACAATATGCTCCCCATCTACTCCATATTCATCCTAATTGAACTTCTAATTCTTGATTATAATGTTACAGTACTGCTGCTCTTCCCCCTTTATTTGTGATCTAGAAAGTTATGTTCTCTGTTTCCACGGTTACATTCTAAACAGCTGCTGGACTTCATATTTTCAATTGCAGATCTTGACATACCTTCTAATGTCAGCGTCATCATCGGCTGCCACTAGAGCCTATGACTGGGAGTCTAATTGGGGTGTGGACAAGTTTCCGGACATGGCAAATGCATCTGTGGCTTTGTCCTTCATTGCTTTTGTGGCCTTTGCCTTGGCCTCTCTTGTCACAGGTTCTATCGTTTGTAGGTTCAGATAGTTTATGCACATAATCTTAGTGAAGTGTACAAAGTCTTATGTACGATGCTTGATGAAGTTTTATCCATTCTGGACTGGAGAGTGCCCTGAATTTTCAGAAAAAATACTTACTTTGTAGAAAAAGGGAAAATTTCACTTTATGCTTGTGTCAGTATTATATTGTACAGATAGAAATGGATTGTGTTTTTATTTTATTTTTTGGTAAATGAAATAACATGTCTTTGTAATAACATGTCTTTCTACTTTTATATTTAATAAGATGATATGTAGCATGCTATCTTCATAAGTGAAGTGTACAAAGTCTTATGTACGATGCTTGATGAAGTTTTATCCATTCTGGACTGGAGAGTGCCCTGAATTTTCAGAAAAAATACTTACTTTGTAGAAAAAGGGAAAATTTCACTTTATGCTTGTGTCAGTATTATATTGTACAGATAGAAATGGATTGTGTTTTTATTTTATTTTTTGGTAAATGAAATAACATGTCTTTGTAATAACATGTCTTTCTACTTTTATATTTAATAAGATGATATGTAGCATGCTATCTTCATAAGAGATGGGTTAAGACTGGGGGTGAGTTTGGTGACGTTTCTTACATTGATATTAAGAATATAATTTTGTCTTTCATCATAGCAAAAAAATTGCTTTACTACAAAAGGAATTTTGTGTAACCCAATGTGCATATATTGAATGTACTCATGATTTAGGGCCTGTTTGGTGTGACGTATAAGGCATGATAGTATAAGCTTATACTATACGTTATGATGTTTTTAGTTGTTTGGTGTGACCATCGTATAGTATAAGCTTATACAGCATAATCCCTTAATACATCAAAATGATGTATAACTTAATCCGGCCTAAGGGTAAGGGATAAGGCCTGATAAAAGATTGATGTATTAACATCGTTGACCAATGTAATTTTCAAAAATTAATATATTATTTTAATATTAATCTATTAAAATAAAAATTAATTTTTCAATATATTAATTTCTAAAATATTGAATATTTTTATTTTTATAAAAATTAATTATATTTTGAACACACTGATCAATAAATTTTTATAAAAATTAATATTATATGACATTTTTTGAAGAATTATATAAATTTTAAAGGATATTTTTATTAAAAATTTATTTTTATCATATATAGTATTAAACAATGCATTACCAAATACTAAATGATATTATCTTATATAATATATTATTTTATACAATATCGTGCCAAACGCTGGATAATATTAAAATTCAATCAGGTATTATATAATCAGGCCTTATACTATCAGGTCTTATACTATCAGGCTTTATCCTATACTATGTACCAAACATGCCCTTATTCTAACACCCTTCCCGTATAAAGAGCATTATCTTAAATTAACTGGATAGGAATAAAATTTTCTTTGAAAATACAAGGGACAGACTAGCTACCTAATGTATCAAAAGAATTGTACATTCGTATATCAACTTAAGGGGGCGTTTCGTTGAAGGTTTTTATTTGGTTCCCTATCAATCTTGAAGTGGCATTCTATGATTGCTTTGTTTGGTAAAAAAATTAAAAAAATTTAGCTATGCTTCTCATTTCCCCATCCTTCACAAGTATGTGCAAAATCAAAAGCAAATCATGGTAAAACTTTACTATTTAAGATGTGGTATTCTTAGAAAACTAGCTAAAATGCAAAAAGGTGAATGAAGAGTGTTACCATATTACCCTCTTCTAAGTACACATGTCTACTACATCTTTAATATATCAAGGGTTATTTTTGGTATTTCAACACATTTACCCATCATTATTTCACCTTCAACCAAACAAAGACTCACAAAATTTAACTCAATTTCCCTGATAAAATTTTAATCAACCAAACAACTTTTTTTTAACTTTCCTACCAAACTCAATTTTCAACTATTTTTTCTCTAGTAATTACATTTTCTTAGTATTCAAAAAATTTCTCCTCGACCAAACATCTCCTTAAGGATATTATAACAACTCTAGTGTGCAAGCAAACTTACGAATCCAAAATGACTCGGCTGATAACTTGCTCCACACTGTCATCATCAAGGCTGTTTTCCTGGGTGGGTTAAAAAAAAAAAAAAAAAAAAAACACATAGACACATGAAAATAAGAAAATTCATCTCAATCATCTTTAGATTTTCTAGCGATAACCTCATCCAGCTTTGATTACACGGAAAATCCACCTTTATGATTTATAATTATTGACTCTATATTGTATCAACTATCAACTATCAACTATCAACTATCAAGCATAAAGTTATTTGTTACTACTTGAACCTGATATCTATCTATACTGAGTATATCCTTGCAGATTTGTTACATCTTGTAACATCCTTAAAAAATTAAAAAAAGTTTAAAAAAAATTAAAAAATAATGGGAATATGTGGAGTTGGAGGGGGTAACGTGGGATCACCCTTTCAACTGTGAAAAAATATTATTTTAATAATATATTAATAGAATATTATTTATTAAAAAAACACAAAGAGAGCTATAAAAACCCCTTAAACGGGTAAAAGATCTTCACCGGAGAAAAGCGACAGAAAGAGAGGAAGAAAGAGTTAGAAAAAGAGAAAGTTGATTTTAAGAAGAAAAATAATATTGAGCGTAAAATCTATTCTCGTAGTTTTATCTTTTATAATCTATTGCTTCTATTTCTTTTAGTTTTGGGGTACGTTATTTTTCTTACAGGGCAATTATTAATGTGGCAAACCATTTTCTTATAGATTTTTCTATACTTTGATTTTATATAGATACTATAATTGTGATAGATTTTAAGGAAAATTTCATTTTCACTCACTCTAATTTTATGATTTATCACTTGATCTCCTGTAATTATAAATTTATTATTTAAATACATTATATTTAAATAATTTATCATTTAATTTTACGTGATTTGTAGTTATAAAAATATGAGATTTGATTTTTTCATGTTGCATTATGTTGTGACTCAACTAGTGGTGTTGCCTAATGCATTGCTTCGAATTTGGTGCATTTTTTGTTGGATTTAGTATGCTCTTTTCACTTAAGCCCAATAGATTTAGTGAGAGTGAGCCCAAAGTCTAATTTTAACCCATGAAAGGGTTAGTTTTGGATTGGACAGACTATATAAACTCTTTTTTCTCTTTAGTGCCTCCTATGTTACAGACATCAGAAACACACCAAAGAGACCAAAGAGGCAGACGTTCATCATCTGAACGGTTGTCCACACGACCCCCTGATCCGCTTGAGTCATAGCTTGGAAGATCAACAGTAGAGCGGATTTTGCAACCATTCGTGGTGCGTTGCTGCAGATCGTGAGGCTTGAGAAAGAGAACTGAACGTGAGAATTTGTCACGCTCGCTACTTCATAATTAAAGCAGTGTCTTTATTCTTCATCGCATCGGTACGATGCGCTTTCACGTTTATGATGATATACCTTCATTTTTAATTTCACCAAGTCTTCTCTAGGAAAGCATTCGATTTTGACAGAAGGTGACACCCGTAGGTTCTACAGGATCAAAAACAAAAAGTTATATCATATTTTTTCCTGCCCTTTTCCACACTTGTTCCACCCGAATTTTGACCAACCTAGCTTGTTAAATGTTGAACCTTTCAAATAAGAGCAATCGTGCTGACACAGTATCGCCTTTTTTTTTTTTTTTTTTTTCTTTTGAAGAGAATCAAGGGCTGTTTTATTATTTGTATGTAAATTTTTGTGTAATTTAATTTTTCTTTCAAATAAGAGGAATGAATGTGACACAAACAAATTATTTATACAGATTTCACGCATTAGTCCCTGTTTTGGCAGTGTTTATGGAATTAAACTTCTATTCCATAATTTGAAAATACGCACTCATTATTTTCATTTATCTTTATTTATAATTACAAAAAAATTATATAAATTTGCTTAAATCAAATTGATCAATTGTTGATATATTCTTATTTTATATGAAATAATTATAGAAAAAATGTGTGTCATTTTAAAAAATGTGAAGTTATCTCATTTTAAATGAGAGAAAGAGATAAATCATGGACATAATTCTTTAAAAGCTCGAACACGTTCTATTTAAGTATGTGTAATAAGTTAAAAGTCTGAATATGTTCTATTTGACTATATGTAATAGACTAAATCAGACTAAGCCTTTGAGTGGCCGATCCACTTTTACCCCTACGTACCGTGAGCCCATAAACCAAACAATTTTTATGTATATTTAGGAGACTGATAAAACCCCTTTCTTCTTTCCTGTTTCACAGAGGCGCCGCTTTCAGTGGGTGAGTGTTGCAGTCTATGCTTTCTTCTTTGTATATTAGAAATGGCGAATACTGTATATATGAAATAACTCTGATTTACTGACGGTGCACTTATGGCTTTATATCAATGTAATTTCTGATAATATTTTTTTGAAATATTACAATAGGTTCATAGTTTTGCAATTAATTTTATTCAGAAAGTATATAGGATTAAAGTTTTAAATTCTTTTAACAAAATAAATAATAATATTAAAAGAGGATCAAAGAGATACTCTCATCCTATACATTGATTGTTTTGTCTCCACGTGCAGGTGCCCAAATATAGCACGCGTAGGCATGTAAGTGCAAACTTGTCATTCGTTTATCTGTCTTTGATGTTAAACACACAAATGAATCATAACCATTATAATAAATGATCTGGTAATGTGTGGGTGTGTGTGCAGGTCGAGGAAATTTGTGAAGGATCTCCCAAAATATGTGGCGAATGATCGACTACGAGAATTCTTTTCTGAGAAGGGAGAAATCACTGACGTCAAGCTTATTCGTACCAAGTACTCCTTTCTTTCCTGAAATCATAATATCCCCCCTATCTCACTCTTCATCGACATTCATATCAATAATTTATAATTCTTTTATTTTACGTTGATTTGGTTGTTACCTCAGAGACGGTAAGAGTCGCCAATTTGCTTTTACGTACAGAGCATGAAGCTCAGGAAGCTATTAGAATAACTTGTGAGGTCTGTTACAACTCTTTTTCTTTTCTTCTGTTACTCTGTTTTCTTTCATATTCGGTATTTTTAGAGTATAGTTTTTTTTAGTTACTCAATAAATATAATGAGATTCATTTTGATCCCTTAAAAAAAAATTTATTTATGATTCTTTTAAAATTCAAAATAAATTCAGTTAATCGAAATCGTATTCTTTCTGAAATTAAAAGAAGACTCACTTTGGATTAATATGAATTTATTTTGAAGTTTAGATAAATCACGAATCAATTTTTTTCTTTTCTAAACGACTAAATTGGATTCTATGATATTTGCTGAGTACCCAATATACTTTACTCAAATTTCTATTTACTGAAACTGAAATCCACGTAACTTGCTTTACTAAATTCTCAATAACCAAGCAGGTGGCTCGAAAACTTGGTGATGCAAAATTGCAAATCTTCCTCGGCCAGGAGTCGATATTCAACACAGAAAGACAATAAAGTGATCACCCCATCATATGTGAACAAACATAAGATGCCTAGGATAATAAAGACAACAAGGAGTCGATATGTGA